TCCAGAGCCGACACTTTTCTATTAAGGCCCACCTAGCGGACTAGAGCGTCCAGAGCACTGAGTGGCTATGAACCCCTCCGGGGACCCTCGAGCTGGTCCGACGGGAACGGGTCTGATCTGGGACCACCTCCTCGTGATTAATTTGAGTCTCCATTGTAGGTTCTGCTACCCCGAGCTCTAGGCTGAGCTCTGCCTCTTCTCGGCCTCGTCCTTGACCGTTTCCCCTAGTAGTAGCTGCCAAAGGGGGCTCTGGTTCCTGTCCGGCTGCAGATGTTGTGTCTGTTCTAGCCATTTATGATAGAACAAGAATAGAATGCTTCAATCATCAATGATAGAATAAAATCTCACGATAGAGAAAGAACGAGGTGAAATTTTTCTAAAATCTATAGCCTCTGGAAGATAATTACAGATGTCTTTGTACCGATCTTCTAGACTCAACTACCAATTAACTGATAATGAAACGCTTAAGCTCATTAATCAACAAAAACAGGCGGATCAAGAAACTCATATAGCTCAACTAACAGGGAAAAGAAGGAAAACAAAAAGGGCCTAGAACAAACTAAGCAAAACCATGGGTTGGACTTACCAGTTGGACTTGAAAAACACGGGTAACTCTGATTTGGTCTCGACATGGTATAGATCGTCTGTTCTTTGTCAAGAACAGACGAAGAACATCACTTCGAGATGAACCAGGCTGGGAACGAGCGGGTAATTTGGAGGGATGACCTTGCATGGAGTATTCTGACTTTGACCCTCCTTCGAACCTTGGATTTAGGACTCGACAAATTCCGGCCTTATTCGAAGGGAGTTGGCCTGGGATTTGAAAAGGGGAGAGTGTGATGGTTATTTGGTGTTGATTTGGGTGAGGTTGAGCGTTGTTTAAGGTTACGCCGCCGGGCTTGGGGCGGGGAAATGGTGGCGGCTGTTATGGCTCCTAGGGTTCTTGAAGAGAGATGAGAGAAGAAGATGATGAGGGATATGTTTGGACTAGGTTTGAGTTAATTGTTCGGACATATTAATTGAGAATGGGATGGGCAATCAGAGCCGTCAGATCTATTGAACGAAAGGCTGAGATCAGATTGAGTTTAAGAAACTCGGAACGACGTCGTTCGGACATCAAGAGGGACTGGCTGGGTTGGACTCGGGTTTTGGGCGGGTATGTAACGAATGACTAGGCCGGGGTAAATTCATTAAATTTCGGCCCAAAGTGCTTTTAACTCCCTTTTATTTTATTTTATTTTATATTTAACTTCAAAATTAAAGCTTTTTCTTTCCTCTTTTTTTTTCCTTTCTTTTTTTTTTCTGAAAATTAAAACTAAAAATACTAATTTAAAAAACCAAACTAACTCATAAAAAATACTAACTAATCCTAAATAATTAACACCGTTAATAAATTAAGGAAAACTACTCGAAAATCAAAAATTAAAATTAAAGGGTGCAAAATGACTATTTTTGTGATTTTTCTTTTATAAAACAACTTAATTACTAAATAATTCTAAAAATGCAAAATTAACTCCTAAATACACCTGCAATACATTTTTTTGTATTTTCCATTAATTAGAATAAAATAAACATGCACAAACAATTGCAAACAACTAACAAAAAATGCCACGAAAATCTATAAAATTGCAAATAATGAAAAGAATTTTATTTTGTTTTGAAATTATGGGAGTAATTCATATAGGGCAAAAATCACGTGCTCACAGCTGCCCCTCTTTGCTCGGAAACACGAAGAGTTTTCGTGCAAAGATAAAGTGAGCGGATACGAGCAATTTTTGCCCGTTTGAATACTCCATGGGAAGCATTTTTTAAAATATTTGACCGCACCCTGCTTCTGAGGTTGCCTACATATCCTTGGCTAAAAAGGAATCAAGTCAGTGTAGTTCGGGAAGTTTTGGTAGCTGGGACTACCAGGAGCTGTGATTTCACTGCTGTTGCTGCTGCTACTGCTTGCTGACCTCCTTATTACACCAAAAGGAAAATCAAAGCTAAGCTAGCTATGCCTATCAATTATGAGTTACAAGATTCCTATCTATAGATCTCTTGAAGCTTGATCTTGAGTCTTAGCTGATTTTGCTGTGAACTTCGATCTGAATCTTGATGCTCGCAAGTGGTAGGTGTTTTACTTCTTCCTGCAGCATTGAGTCAAAACAGGGGCAACGGAGCTTGTGACTTCAATCAAATTTTGAGTGATCCGCGCCCTGGCTCGCTTCACATTTAAGTTCTTTTTCTCTTTTTTTTTTCTTGGTTCTGGATTGAGATTTATTCCATTGGTCATCT